AGGAAATTAGAAATAAATTTTTCACTCGAAAAAGAATTTTTTTAAAGGCGATAATAATAATAATAATAATTCAAAAAAAAAATTATTAAAAAAATGTGACGTCATTTTCCTAAGAAAAAAAAAAAAAGAAAATTTATTTATTTATTTTATTTAACGGGGTTATATATATATATATATATATATATATTATTTACGTAATTATTTTATTTTCGCGTGTTATTATTTAAATACATAAAATTTTATTTAATTATTAAAAGAAGAAAAACAAGTTAATAAAAAAAAAATAATAAACAAATAAATAAAATTATTAGAATTTGTTTAAACTCTTCGTTTTTACTCTCTAACGAAGTTAAATCCCCTTCCCCCCCCCTAGAAAAAATTCAATTATTACATTTTCTAATTGAAACTTTTTAATACAAACGATGACGAAAACAAAACTTAATAATAATAATATAATAATAATAATAATAATAATAATAATAATAATAGGGATTCGAACAACATCGAATACCTTGGAAAAACATTTAAAATAATTACAAATAAATAATTTGATTGGTTTTTAAAAAAATTAAATTAAATAAAACAATCAAAAGTAATACAAAAAAAAAAAAAAATCGACCTTAAAATCAAGGATAGTCAATATAATAATACACAAATTATTTTTATTTAATAATAATAATAATAATAATGATAATGATGATGTAATATTAATAGGGAAATTACATAAAATAATTAATATGTATATATTGGGAAGTAATAAAAAAAAAAAAAAAAACAGGTACGTGTACTACAGCAAGTGTAAAACGTAAAAAAATTTATTTATTTTTTTATTAATGCCCCCCGCCCCCCGTCAAATCGGAAAAAATTTTAATAGATTTTATTTAATAACAACAAGTCGTATTATTAACATAACGAAATATTTATTTATTTATTTACAAAACATAATCGATTAATCATTTTTTTATTAACAATTCAAATAAGAATATTTGAATAATAGAAAAATTTTTATTTGAATGACGTCATTAATCATATTTCCCCCACCCTTTTCCCTTCCCCACCATATTTTTAAACCGTGAAAATGGCTGAAATTAATAATAAATCAATAAATAAATAAATTTCTATGATTATTGTAATTTTATTAATAAAAATTTTAATTGATTTTTTATTAAACAAAAAAAGGAAAATAATAAATATTTAAAAAAAAAAAATTATTATTATTATTATTATCATCAAATCAAATATTTTATAATCAAAGAACCTTCATTATTATTATTATTATTACTTTATAAAATTTATTAAAATAATAATAATAATAATGTAAGGATTCTTATAAAATAGCAATAAAAAATGATTTTTTATATGTTAACTCGTTGGGTTTTTTTATTTTTTTATTTGGTCGTAAATCAAATTTCTTCGCACACGCACACGCACACACGCACACACCTACAAATCGTAATTAATTTCCCCTTTTTAACTATTCCCTTGTCAATATCAATCTAAATTAAATAAAAATCTATTGAAAAAATTGTAAAATGTGCAAGGAGGAGGGTTTCTATATAAAATTTTTTAATTCCATATGGGGATAAAAGTTATGATAAATTCATAACAAAAAGGAAATGATGTAAATAATAATAATAATTATTATTATTATTATTATTTATTTTTTATGAAGTAGTATCAAGTGAAACCACTTTCTTTTTTATCTTTATCTCTTATCATGTAAATAAATACAGGTAATGACAATTACAAGGTGATTTTATATAAACGATGAATTATTATTTAAATGTTAACAGACACACACACAAACATATTTACATTTAACCATATTTTTTTAAAATTATTTATGAATGAAATAATAATATTTATTCGGATAAAAAGAATGTTGTTGATATCGATAACGGAAAA